CCATATCTTTATTTCAGTAATGAGTTTCTCCAGCTTGGAAATTCTCAATCGTTTTAAAAACATAATCGTGCCACACTACAATGGTTTAACTCTTTGTTACCTGCCTTCCTCTTCAGCTCCCCCTTCCTGGGTGTCAGAACTGTCTCTCTCAATTCTGTGGCAGATTGGCTTCAGGACCCTGTGGTTACAAAATTCACAGAGGCTCAATCTCTTATATAAAACTGAAAAATATTTTCATGGAACCTATACACATCCTCCCATGTAGTTTAAATCACTCTAGATCACTTATAATAGCTAATACAATATAAATGCCATATAATAGTTATGCTATGTTATTTAGGAAAGAATGACAAGAAAAAAAGTTTATGTGTTTAGTACAGACATATTATTTTTTTCCAATATTTTTCATATGAAGCTGATTGGATTTGTGCAGATATGGAATCCAGGGATATGGAAGGCTGTATACATACAAGTCAATGTAGTGGACCAGTCCTAAAAGCACAATTAGCCATCCTCTCAGAATATTCCCTAAAGATGGGGACATAAATCATTTGCTAGAATTTGTTTTGGCTTAGAAGTCCTCTTCTTCCACTTTTGTTATAATACTGAAAGATTCCATTTTTTTTTTTTTTGGTCCATGATCTTTATTTAGCAGACTATTCTGCAGTGCAAATAATAAGAATCTGAAGCTCACTTTACCATAGGCATTTGGACTTTGACTATCACCTACCTGGTGTTTTCTATTTTGAGTTTTCAGCATATGCTAAGTGTCATTATTATTTATATTGAATACATGATATTGTTTTTTGACATTTATCTACCTCAGTGTTTTAAAAGCTTAGGTTTAAGTCTGTCTCCCAACCAAAAAAGGAAGGAAAAATGACTGTATCTCCTGGATTAAAAAACAAACAAACAAACAAACAACAACAACAAAAAAACCCACAAAAGTGGATTTCCAGGGCTGGAGTTGTGGCTTAGTGGTAGAGCGCTTGCCTGGCATGAGTGAGGCTCTGGGTTTGATCCTAGGCATCACATATAAATAAATAAATAGAACAAAAGATCATTGACAACCAAAAAAAAGTATTAAAAGTGGACTTCCGGGGCTTGGGATGTGGCTCAAGTGGTAGCACGCTCTCCTGGCGTGCATGAGGCACTGGGTTCGATCCTCAGCACCACATAAAAATAAAATAAAGATATTGTGTCCACGTAAAACTAAAAAACAAACATTAAAAAAAGTGGATTTCCAATTTCCTATCTTTTCTTTCTAGGTTTACAGGAAATTCTGATCATGGTTAATGTCAATCCTTTGTGCCTTTTACTCATTTTTAGCTATTAGGATTGCTGAGTGGCGTGTTACATAGAATTGAAGGAATGTATGCCGGGGTGTGTTCACTGTTTAGAACTGAACAGAATGTTAGATTCTAATATGTTCTTGCTTGTTAGCTCATTTGGTGAACTCGGGGCATTTGCTATACCATGGATGTGGTTTGTTTCCTGGAAAAAAGTGTTTCCTTTCTAATGATGGATCTGGTGAGGAATAGCAAAAGGTAATAACAATCCATTATCTAATGTTCTTCCCAACCGAAAAGCAATTTAGTCTTATTAACAAGAAACTGAGTTAAGCCAGGGTACACCACCATTTCCTTGAAGTTAACACTGTATTTTAAACACTATGGCAATTTCCAAAGACATCTGTCTTTGGTGCCAGCTATTCTAAAGAAGTCATTTTGAATGCCCCCATTGATCCTTTCATATTCACGCACTGGCCTACCTGGACAGCCATATTTGGTGTTCTGTGTGTAGACATCCTTTCTTCAAGTAATCATACTTTATCTTAGTTGAAAGGGAATTTAGAAATAATCTAGTCTCACCCATCTCCTTCTATAGTTGAGAAACAAATGGTAAGCAGAAGATCCAAGACATGACCCAGGTCTCCCCCTTCAATGTAATGCTTTCCATATTAGGTCAAATCATATAAAATGGCTATTTTTGTCAGCCAGCAAGAATGATCAAATGTTTGTATTTCATGTGAGTCTAATACAATGCCGCAGTGGTGCTGATGGTGCAAATTCTTAACTAAGTGAAGGAAGTTGAACTTATAAAATCTTATACATTTGGAGATTGGACCTTAAGTTCAGAAGAATGGTTCAGTGTGGTACAGAAAGGTGGTTTGGTGTCGGGAGGGTGTCATATTACCCTCTGCCCCTTGCCTATATTTAAAAGCCAGGAATTAAGGGTAAGCATCCAAATTCCTAGCTCATCTAAAACTATATAAACACATACCTGAATTCCAGCATGGTAACCATTCCACTGTTGCTGAGTAATGGTCTCCACTTTTCCCTAACACCTCACACTCAGGCTATGCTTCTCTTTCACATTTCTTGTCTAGTCCCTGTAGGTCTGTGTGCTCACTACCCTTGTTAAAGATCACATGATCAAAAACTGACAGTTTTCAAATGGGGAAACAGGTTATCATAAATATAGAGTAATTTTGGTACAAAATACCATAGATGTAACTCTATGAGGTAATATGGTTTCTTATGGAGAAATGGCTCCATGCTTTGAGTTGTTTTAAGTAATTTTTAAAAAATGTTAAGCTCACATTATTTCTTTGGTAGGTGCTTCGAATCCAGAACATCTTAACAGAAGAACCCAAAGTGAAACTGGTTTATGCAGAAAATGGCACAGTGTTGCAAGGCTGCTCAGTAGCCTCCGTGTACAAGGGGAAACTGCTGATCGGCACCGTGTATCACAAAGCGCTTTACTGTGAACTCTAACAGGACGACTTGCCAGAGTCATAGAATGCGGAGGCCCATCATTTCCACCAATTGCCACAGTCTAAGGGGCTGCAGTGATCTCCATTGATGTCAGTTGCATATCATGAGGCTGAGAGCAAATCTGGAGAGTGAGGCTCTTTTGACAATACACAATCCAATTAGTCTTGGAATACTTGGAAATCTCATTTACCAGTGGAAAATTATTATTAAATAATAATTTAATAATAATTAAATTATTAAAATGGCTAAATTTATTATAACAATTATCAGGTCTTAAATAATCTTACTGTATGTTACTCATTAGGAACTTTCCCTAAAATGGATTCCATGAAAGTGTCTTGCTGCTTCGCTAATTCATGTTCAGAGAACCAGAGAGCAGGATGAGCTGTGTCACAACTCCAGTTCTCAGGGACTGCAGGTCACATGCCAGAACATGCACGTGCTCTGCAAGGCAACCCCCACCCCCACCACACACACCTCCTCAGTGAAGCCACTGGGGAACCTGCACCATCAGAGTTGCCCTGTTTTCCCCTCTTTGACTCCGTGCTCATGTGACTTTCTCAGGAAACAGTGGCCAATTTTAGTAGCGTTCTCCTTTTATTCTTCAATTCTCCTGTGGCAATGGCGCATAGGAAAATCTTAAAATTTGAGGGAGTGGTATCACACCTTAAAATTATGAGTGTCTTTTATCTTGGCACCAATAGTATCTTTTAGATTTCATTGCCCTGGAGAAGGAGGGAATTTGCTCACTGCAAAGACTGGGCACAGAGTGTAGTAATTGATTCAGGTAATGTTAAGTGTCCCAAAGTCAATACTGCTATTCAGTGGTGGAAGAGGTTTTTTTTTTTAATTTTTATTTTTTATTGTTGTTGTTATTATTTTTCCCTATTGTAACTTGCTATGGAAATTGAGAAAGAAAAAAAAAAAAAAGGAAAAGGTAAACAAACAAAAATCAGGAAAGATCAACCACCACTTTTTGTCATTGTTCAAGGACATGGCTAGGAATAAAACGTGACTATCATTTTGTTGTGAACGCTGACATAAAAAGGTTAACACACCTCATTTGTTTGTCTGTTTTGAAGATAGGACTTTCAGGCCAGATTCTTTCTCTGGACATTAAGGCAGTCACTTAAAGTATTTTTAAGGCACTTGTCCTATTGTTGGTGTTGTGATTTTGGTCCAGCATTTTGGGAAAAATGTTTTGCCAATAAGTTGAGAACTGCCAACAGTTTGAGACCACTGATCCTCTGATTTAATAAAAAAATATTTTTGTTTTGATCAAAAAAACTTTAATCAGGATTCACATTATTTTGGCCACCATTTCAGGGAGCATAACACCAAGTGCCTTATGAGTGCTCAATTACTCAGTGATACCATCTATTCACAACCCAGGAAGTACTGCTTGTCAACAAATGATGCTTAGGAAATAAATAAAAACCTCACATATTTCCTTCAAAAAGAATGTCTTACCTAGCCTCCATGCATCTTCAATAAAATAACCATATTCTGTTCTTTTTAATTATTGATGGAATAAGAAGATTCTGCCAAAAAAAAAAAAAAAAAAACCCAAACCTAACATCACATAGCATAGATTCAAGTTCAGAAAGGGACATCCCTTGGTTAGGGGTTTAACACACACTCATAGAAAGAGGAAAACTGCCTAATTCTCATTTGTTCTGTGATGCCCACATCTAAATATTTGTATTGTCAAAGGTTTAGTTCTAGATAGGTTATATGTATGAGAAAGAATGACTTTAATATTCTTCATTTGTTACAGCCCAGTCTCCTGAATCTTGAAGGTCTTGAAGTAAACTTTAAAATCACCCTGTACTGTAGGACAGGCTCATTCCTGCTTAGTGTGCTCCTTGCTGTGTGCGGCTGACTGGTTAATGGATTGTCTCAGACCTTTCTATGGCTGAGACGTATCAGAAACCTTGATGGTGAAGCCGTGACAGGGGAACAGGAAGATGGGCGAGGGAGCTTTGACTGGAGGCTTCACTCTTTTAACTTTATGCCCAGTTCCATAATTGGGCTTTCAAATGTAATTCTAGCTGCCAATTTACACTTTACCAGAGTTATTTTTAGTTTCATTTCCATGAAAAATGTGCACTTTGCTCTTGATTGATATATGTGTTTTGACAGTTAATACAGGTTTACCCAGTCAAGGCTTGTTTTAGTCGAAGGTGAAAATGGAAGAAGAAGAAAAAAATTATGCGACCGATCTCAGTATTTCTCTTTTTATTGCATTCGTTGTTTAACAACAATAATACTCATTGGCAAGAAATTTATTTACACTAACAAATTAAATTTAACACAGGTATTTTTAGATTGGTCAGAAAACAAAGGACCACTGTTACATTTTGCTTTGAATGCCTCTGAAAACCAAAGAGTAAGGAATGTCATTTGAAACAGTACATATTAACCAAGCACAAGAGAACAATTCAGACATGGCACAATTGTCTCTTCCATGCAAATAAATGAATAGACATCAAAATGTACAAATTAAAAGTTTCAGGTAACATGCTACCCACACTTGCTGGACTCAAAATTATTTTCAAACAACTTTTTCTTATTGATATATAAAGAAAGATGAAAATGAATCAAATTCTTACAGGAGAACAGACTTTATTATCTTTCATTTTTCAGCTGCCCAGTTTTGTAATATGTAGCAGGTGTATTAGTGGTTTGACTGCAACACCATTAAAAATACAAGAGCGGTAGTTGTGACATCAAATAATAATGAAGGATGCATCTGCATATGTATGTAAGGAATTTCACCAAGCACTAACTCAGTTTGATGTTGTTGGGAGGTGTCATCTAGCTGGAGTGCGTCTTCCCACTTTTAATTATCTCTGGCCAATTGTTCTTTCATGAACAGTCGACTGATCACATCCTTAATAGAAAACCTGGATGTATGAATAAAAGAGCTGAAAGAAACAGACATGTACATCTTCCAACAATATATATTCACAACCACCTGTATTATTTTTGGTGACAATCAAAATGCCATTATCAGCACGAGATGACCAAAATGCCATTACTTGGCACAAGAAGTCAATAAATGGTCATGTGAGGGCAACACTGCCATCAGAGAACCAGTAGTTAGTGACTAAAGCTACAGATTATGTCATTTTGGAAGTGTGAGCCAATGCACAAGAACACACAGTGCAACTTTTAGCCAAGAAAACTGTAGTCTGCCGTTGAAAATGCCCAAAGCTACATAAATGTCTTCTGAGCTCTACTACAAAAAAAAAAAAAAAAGAAAAAGAAAAAGAAAAAAGTGCAGTCTCCACACCAAAGCATTAACCAAACATTTGAGAAGATTTTAGCTTACTAAAATACTAAATATTTAATAAATCAATTTTATCAAAATATATAAATACAGAGAAAGGTAAGTGCATTTAGTAGGAATACCTACATTAAAATAAAAACCCTCTTAAATCTATGAGCCATTCAATGTATAGACAAGCAAAAAGTGGCAATAAGGCTCTGATTATAGCTCCTAACTGGCATTACCAAGTTCCACATACAGTATTTTTTACGCCTTGTAATTGCTGCATATATATGGGTATGGTGGAAGATAGATTCACACAGATGTAGTTCTGAATACCTATGCAGTGGCATGCATGTTGTGGAGTAGTCTATTGTTCTCTGTTCCTTACCTCATAAACACTGCTGAATCCCTAGTGCTTTGGGGTTGGGTAGGGCCAAGGATTGGAAAGCATCCTGTTTTGTTCCTCCCTAACTTTGAGGATCTGGAGACAGGTTACAGTGGTGCTTGGTTCATGCTGCTCACATATGTGAACCCTCAAGTTAAAATCATTCTCTCAATAAACCCACAGTTTATTGTCAGACCCTCTGTCTACCATAAATAGATCTTGTTTTCACTTCTTGGGGAAAATTTATTCTTTAGGCTTTTTCTTTTCTCTCCAGCTTCTCAGGCCTATTCTACGCTGCTTCTTCAAGTTATGAAAATGTGTTGTTTGGTGTTAATTTTTCCCCAGTGTTTTGGATCAAGACTAAATTTCCTGAGACTTTAAATACTCAAGACAAATGCAAACAAAATCTGCTAGCAGACCCAGGCTGGTTTTCAGGAGTGAATCACTGAGCACATTCAAATTTCCCCTAACACTACTTTCTTTGGAGAATGTACCCTCCCCTGTCCTACCATCATGAGAAGAGTTCTGGTAGAAGACATGGACATTTTACTGATGGACTTTATCCTTAATGGCTTAGCTTTATAACTGCACACAGGGTTAAAGAGGCAAATTAAAAAAGATGGAAAGCTGAGCTTTTCATTTCCATCTTCCTTTTTTCTTCAGAGAACAATGAACCCTTTGCATTAAAGCAGGTGCCACAAAGCTCTGTGACCACTGTCCACCAAAATGAAGTGCCCCTCTACTCCAGCTGTGTTGGGAGTACCTTTAATGACAAGTGGCATTTGAAAATTCTTAAATATCTCAATGTAATGAGAGGGCTGTGACACATTCAAAGTGCAGATGTTTCTCTTATAATTGTTGGGACTCCTTCCTCCAGAATTTTCTTGAACATTATTGTTAAACACTGAATATCCTCTTGAAGCTTAGTCTAATCTTCCACACTTATAAATGAATTAGCACATCTACAAAAATGTGCATTTAATTTACCTTTTTTGTTATTGTTGTTGTTTACAATGTAAACTTTAAGCACATGTTAATCCTATTACACAAAGAACTTCAGTGAGAATTCTTTGTCCTCAGGGAAAGCCATGGGGTGAGTTGCCAGGTCAAATGACCTGTGGAGGTCTCCTAGGTTGGACCTGAGGTATTTGGGGATTTCAGGTTAAATGACTATAGGGGCACAGGCAGCGGGAAGGGCTATTTGGTTCTCACTTTTCCTCCTGCTACCTTGTTCCCAACAACAAATGCGCACAAGGTGGATGTTCCCACTCTGTGCCCACTGAAAGCTGAGTTTGGCATTGGCACCTATCATACTGCAATTATTGACTGCTGTGGTTAAGAGGCTGTGTGATGTTGGCAGGTGGGGACAGGTTTCTGGCCTAACTGAATACAGAAGGACACTTCTGATTCATTGTGTGTGTGTGTGTGGGGGGGCGCTGAAGGGGTGAAGAACAAGAGAAGTATTCCATAACTGTGAGTTACTTTAAGGGAAATGGTCTTAAGCACAGTAATCTGTTATAAAGTTCTTTAGTGGAAATCCTGATCCAGCTCCCATAGTGTTACCTACAGCTTAGCCTCACTATTTATACCCCCTCCCTCCAAAACATCACCCATACCCCAAAACACTTTTGGCTATAGTTAGAGTCATACTGAGCTGTCCCTTACTAAAATATAGTACACGGTAACCAGATAATCCCTTTTTGTTCATTTTCTGATAAGGAAAAAAAAAAACTGAAAAGTCTTTAAGGTTCATGAAATAACAATTTTGCATTAAAGTGTATGAACACTGAAAAGTACTAGCATTAAAGGAGGATTGTGCAAGACACCAGAACCTCAATTAGTCACCATGCACTATAGTCAAAAAAATAATAGTAAAACAAAATGCTCACAAGATCTGAGGTCCTTCACTTTGTTTTCATACCCTTGTATCAATCAGTTTATATTTCATTGTTGGGCAATCAAATCAAGTCCCTTTTACAATTTTAGCAGTTTTAAGTAGTAACATTAAAATAATGCATTTAGACCTAAATTACTACAATTAAACTTAAAAAATCAAAACGGTTATAATATACACTAAATGATTTGAGGAATAAGAATTTGATTTTTAACATTATCAGTATGACTTTGATCTAAACACTGAAGTATGCAAATAAAGTTATAATAAAGAACAGTACTTCTAAGACATTTAAGAAAATACAATATAATAGATCATAAATTATGGGCAAAGACAGAGACTTATAGACATTTCAATATATACATTCATTTTCAAATATTACTGAAGTGTAAACATAACTTAAAATAGTCATACCACTCTTGAATACAGTGAAACCTCCAGTGTGATCCAGGTTACTTTTTCTTCAAAGAAAGCGAAAATGGCAAAAATTTACAATAGCAAGCACAAGCATTACCAGATTTTTACTAATTTAATCTTCTAGAAGTATGAGGAAAGATTTGCTGAATTTTGTAGTTCATTAATAGTTGCTCCTGGTTTCTTGTGATGTTAATAATAGGAAGCACCAGACATTTCTAGATATTATAAGTATTGAGTATGGCAGTTTCATTTCATATCCCAAATGAAGATAGACAGAAAAACCTAACAGTGCCTCTCCTAACTGTAAAAGCTACTATATATCAGTGTTTCTGAGGAGTGAATGTATGATCTGTACCTGGTGACAAAATCACTGAAGCTTAGCAGACCAGACCATACTATGGCAGAAAAGGAATCAGACCTTGAGAAAAGAATAAGACAATACATTTCTAGTTCAGACTATTCCAGAACTTGGATATTAAAAATAATAAAAATTAAATTTCACAATGTTAACAATATTAGGTGGGGCTATACGGCAGGAGTCCCCTTACACTGACTGTTACTGTAATACTCAAGAGCCATCTCCCGTGCTCTGCATGTACAACACTTCAGCATGGACAACGCTGAGGACAGAGCAAGACCCAGTGTCACAAAAGAGGTAAAATACTTATCTAAAATTTATCTGGCCTCAAGTCATACTTTGTAACTTGTCCATTGGAAAGTGGATGACCTCATTTTTGGAGCCAAAGCAGCAAAGAGAACAAGATACATAAGCATAAAAAGCAAAAAAAAAAAAAAAAAAAAAAAAAACAAAACAAAAAAAACCTCATCATTGGAAATTTCTCGATTAGTTTATCTTCTCCTCTTTCTGCCCTAGTCTCCTACACTCAACTAAGTTTGGTGAAATACTGAAGTCCTTAATACTGGCTTTAAAATAAGCATAAGTTCTTCCACTACCAAAATGTATCCTATGTACTGCCTTAAACAAACTTCAACTGTGAAGTGGAAATCTCTGGAGTATGGTAGAGAATGGCTCAGAAAAACCATTCAAAATATCTCTAAAATGTAACTAACTGACAGCTCTGTTTTATAGGAACGTTCTGTGTGCTCAAAAAAATTGGTTCTCTGGTTGAATGTTACTCAAATCTAAATTTTCTCTAACTGGTATTTCTATTTTCCTTAAAAGTGAGTTTGTTAAAACACTAACTGAGCCCACTTGGGAAATTCTGAGTAGAAAATATGTGACAAGTTCCTGACTGTGTCATAGGCAGGCTGAAGACCAGCCAGAATGTTCCCCAGGAGAGGAAACCTGAAAATGTTGGTTTCCTTAAAAATCAATTTCCTGTTCACTTTGTTGTGTGTGGGGGACAAAGGAACTGTGTTGTGTTTGCCAGTGTTGCTGAAATACTGAACATACAGTGGTAGCAAAGTAAACAACATATCCCAACATCCCAAGGCTATATTAAAGTTTGACTTTTTCTTCTTTGTTCAGCAACATCTGGAGGATAAATGTTACCTTCAAACCTCAAGGTATACCCACATCCACATTATTAAGGCTTTTACTCTCTTCTACAGTTAACGAATAACTATGATTCTCTTCACTTTTTCTGATGCCCAGCAAGCAGGACTGTGTGCTTGCTCTTTCCCTTAGGACAAAATTATGTGGCACAACACCCATGCTTCCACAATGGTGCTGTTCTCTGCCCAGACCCAGGACCGAGGGGGAGCTCTTCCCACACACCAGACTGGACTCTGCAGCCCTAGAAGCAAATATGAGTCCCAGATCTCATTGGCAGGGTGCTCTCTGCCACACAAATACGTGCAAGGGCCTAGTTTCAGGATCCTACACTGAAAATTCCAAGTGCTCCATGAACACCAGGGGGGTGTCCTGTTCTCGTGGCAGGTCATGCTGGTTTTCCACGTGACACAACACACCCAACACAACACAGGATGTTGGTAAGTAGGACAGGAGAGCAACACAACTACTTTGTGTCTCTCCCAAATGAGATCTCTGGTTTGTTAACAAACCAAAGATGGTTTGGGGTTCTTTCAGGGGTTAAAATTAGGAGTGCATTCTATTATTGCAGAAAATGCAGTCATTCAACACACGGTTCCTCAGTCTGTCTACAGCAGCATTACCCAACCACCAGTTTCTTTTTCTGGAGGAGAACAGGGCAGGAAGAGGTGAGCCTTCTCTTGTGCATTCTCACCCTCTGGAGGGTGTGCTACTGTTCACCAGGGCCGTCTGTTGCGGTTGATGTCATTTTTTCCGACTTTTTGGACTTCCTCTGCATCTGCTCTTGTTCCTTCCTCCTCAGCTTTTCTCTTTGTTTTTCCATTTTCTCTTGGGCCTTCCGAGCCTTCTCTAGAGACATCTTCATTTCCTTCAGTTTTTTTTTAACCACAGCTCGATCCTGTGATGATGCCATTCCAAGAGCCTGCAAAGGAAACACGTGCACAAACTGAATGGGAAAACTGATGGCTGCTCTGCTTATTATGAGGTTAACACCACAATATGTTCAAACTCATAACTGAAACATGGATAGAAGAGGTCAGAGTTGATATTATTTATTCAAAGTTTGTGTACATTGGGGGTTTGTGCTTTTTTTTGTTGTTCTTTTATTTTATGAAGTCCCTTGCAAAATACACCCTAAAGCTCATTAAGAAAATGCTTTCCAACTGGTTTTTAATGAGTGAATAAATGAAAAAAGATACAATCCTTCTTCTCCAACCTTTGCGCTATAAACATTTATAGGCAAAAGTATTGCTAAACTCATCAATATTTTCAAAGGGTAAGCATGGGCACCGGCTGTCACAGAGGGCTCCAAGAAGGACAGAGAAAACTGAAATGGTTTCCTTTCTGCCAGTGTAGTCATTTACAAGGAAAACCAAAAATGTCTTTGGGGCCAGAATGCTCATATCAGCATAACCAGCCATTCTCTCCCCGTGGGTAGACCTGCAAGGGAAGCCTGATTGTAATGAGGTTGCTCGGTAAGCCTAGAGTTCAGAATAAGGGGAGTTGGTTGCATACTTTAAATGTTTCATGACCTTCAGCATCAACAGCAGGATGTTTCCATTTCCCCAACAGGGACAGCCTTGTCAAGGGGGCCTTCATATTCACAAGCTATTGATTGATCTCTAACCTTTTCAAGATTGTCAAGAGATACTCATCTACTGGTCAGCCTAGCAGGGGGCTGGGGCAGTGAGCAGAGGGTGTATGGAGCTGGTTGTATGCTCTTTTTGCCCTTTTTCCACAGAGGTGGGTGCCACCTCAGTCTCTGAGATGGGCCAGACTCCTAGTGGAAAAGAGTGTGATCCAGGTGGAGGGAAGACACCGTCTGCATATATTTAAGGAAGAAAGTTCTGGGGAGAACATCATCCCAGTTTTAGAGTGCCATGTAGGGAAGAGGGAGTGTGGAGGAGAAATGAACAAGGGGAGGAAGATTCATGGATCAGGGTCTTAACTTCAATATGATGAAAGTCCACAGTGGCCATTATTAAAACTCATACTACATGGGAAGTAAGCAGAGTTAATAAATGGGCCATGTGTTGCCATGTGAAGCAATGGAGTGAGTCCCTAGCACTCATGAGTAGCCTACAACTCATTTCAGAACCGATGATGGACTTTCTGAAACTTTGTTTCCAACTCAGAAATAATTCATCATCCTTTCTACTGACTGTTGAGGGAAGTTGTCTCTCCAATATGCAGAAGGCTCTGGGCTAAAGAAAACATTTTAGGTACTACAAGTACTACAAATCATACCTGGTAACCTAACACAGACAAATAATTCTTTACCTTAAGTTTATTTCCATCCAACTGCAGGAGCTGCTCTCCAGTGATGTTTTGGGCACTGAATTCAGAGACATACTGCTCCAGATTTAGGCTCATTAACCAGTGAGAAACCTGCTGCACACTCCATTCATGAACGGCCCGACTCTGATACTGACTGTGTTTGGGAGACTGTCCATCATCAAGGATCTGAGATAGGAATGTTGCAGTGTTGTTAAAGGACCAAAATGCTATGGTTCCTATTATGCTATCAAAAGGAATTTCTTAACCTGCTAGAGCCACACTTACTTTTAAACCACAAAATGATAATGTTTCTAATACTGTTAAAAAGAAATATGCTTATTACTTATGTGGTTTTAGGTCTATGGAAATTTAAAAAAATTCCCCCAAATAAAGCACATTATTAATGTAGGAAGTTTAATATTGAAAAAAAATAATGTTGCAAGCTTTTATATCAAAACACTCTGGAAATAGCAGATGTAGAAAACAAATATTTCATAAATCTCTACATGCAATGCATCACTCTGCGTTTATCCTCTGCTAAGACATTAAAGTTTTATAAAAACACATTTAAAATATTGAGGTATCTTTCACTTGGAAGAGGAGAGCATTAACCCCTCAAACTTTCTTATAGGAAACTTTCCAACTATTATTTCACTGAGCAGCAAGCAGATTTGAGAGGAACATGGGGCAGGTAATATCCACAATTACTTTCGATACACAAGGAAACTGAGGCTCAGAAAGTCTTTATTATTTGTTCCAGATAACACAGTAAGTAGCAGAGCACAACAGTAACTGGTTTGTTAAAAAAATACAGGCTCTGTCCACTGTATAATATTGCTTTTCATAGTGCAAAGGGGCAGATTGCTTCCTACAACTGCTAAGCTGAGAGGAGATGAAGGCAATGAAAGGCTTCAGAGGAAAGACAGGAGTCACCTTGGTGACACACATGAGGAACACAGAGGAGGGGATGGGGTAAGCTGAGATGAAGGCAGAGGAGATGTTAAAGAATGAAAGGAGTCAAGGTAATGGGGATGGGAGATACATAGAGGGACTTGGAGGTGGGAGTTAGAACCTCTTGATTCAGGAACATCTTTTGGCTAAGATATAGACAAAGGCAGGGAGCAAAGCTACTTAAGACAAGAAACACCCTACTATGGAGGAAGTGTTCTTGTATTGTTTGATTTAAATAATTCGTAAGGATAAAAAAGCAGTTTCAAACACTACCACATAAGGCACCACACAACCCACTGACAGCTCACCTCGTCATCTATCATATCCAGGCTCTGAGTGAGGGGCAACAAAGGAATCAAGAAGAAAAGGGTTATAGAAACAGGTCGTAAAACATCAACAGTACACAGTTTTAATAAACTTAAAATCATGCCAGGCTTGAAGAATACAGGCAGAAAAGTTTACAGGGAACAGAAGTTTTACCAAACAAAAATCATGTTAGAAAGAAGTAAGCATGGGGCTGGGGTTATGGCTCAGCGGTAGAGCGCTTGCCTAGCACATGCGAGGCCCTGAGTTCGATCCTCAGCACCACATAAAAATAAATAAACAAGAAAGAAGTAAGCATGAATATTTAAGTAAGAGCAAAAATATCTTTACTTACGTTGTGTCTGTCTGCTCACCTCCACCCCTTTTGGGGAACCAAACCAATCCTTAATGTAATTTCCTGCCTCTCTTATAAACATTTATCTCCTAATAATTCTTAGCAATGCTCACCATGACCCTTGCTTCTAAGTAAGTGGTTCTCACCCTCTTTTCCTTCCTTGTCAGAACTATAGCAATGATTCCATCAGGATCCACACCAGAAGGAACAGGAGAATCTTGGTGTGACCGTGGCAGAGGTAAGGGAAAAAGGGAATGGACAATTTGCGAACCCCCATATGAGCTGAGCTGTTTTTGCTCTCCAGGTCCCAGCCTCCCCACTGTGAGTGATCCTGAAAACAACACAGTACTCTCTCGATGAGAGAAAGGGAGCGAAATCACGAAGACTTTACATAAATACAAAGCCATGATCCTGCTGGTTTCTATGCAATAATTTATCCTAAAAACCATTTTCCCAGTATATTTTATGAGACAACTGTCTGATCATAGTGCCACTATAGTACCTCATCTGATGACAGTGCTAAGGACTGAGACAGCCCTGGTGTTTTGGGTTCTGCTCCTAAGCCACTCAGGTCTGCGGAACTGGTACTGCTGGGACTGAAGTCATCGTTGAAGGTAAAATTCTGGAAAAACAAAGGAAGCTCAGTGTTAAAGGGGCACAACAAGTGAACCAGAGGCAGGTGTGTTTCCAAGTTCTCAGAGGTTCTTTATAAGCCATCTCAGAAGAAACTCATACTGGGTTTGGTAATGACCTTCAACCGGCCAGTGGTTGAGAATGCTGTGTCTTTTGTGCCTAATTGAGAATTCTGGTGCTTTCTCCATCTGATGAAAGGGGAGGTGTTTTAGAGAGATGATTCTTCAATCTCTCTCCAAGGGTACAGAATTCATTATCCTCTGCTACTGCTCAGAGGAGTAATATTAATAAGCCTATCTTCTTTGACCCTAATCGTGATGAGTAACAGTGTAAGTAAAAATACAAGATGGTGTGGAGAGGCTGAGTTATTAGGAACAGATGGTGATTCCTATCAGGAAGGTAGCTGGAGCACCCCTGGGAAGGAGCGCATGCGGCTGTCCGTGATAAATACTGTGAGAAGTGGCAGATTCTCTCCTGGAGGTACCCTTCAAGATGATGAGTTCTGGGGGAGGACACAGTCTGATAACACTCTGCGTGTTCCATGCTGGAATTAAACTCTCATGGCACCAGCAGACATCCAAAGAGGCTGGGCACAGAACAGACACATGGGGCTGGAAATCAGCTGGGGCTGGGGAGGTAGAATATGTAAACAAGACTTCCCTGGAACATCATTAACATGTTCAGAGAATATTATAATGAAACTTAACAATGGCTACCTAGCTGCATTCATGGAAACATTTTAAACCAAATCTGGAGACTTCCTCAGTGCATGATGATGGTAGAATTACTCAAACAACGTTTAAATGCCTCAGATCCGATAGTAAAAGGCCCAGATGCTCTACTGCTGTCAAAACTTTTTGCTAATGCAAATAGAATGGCTCGATTCCCAGGAACTCTGTGCAACTTGGCCAACAACCATCTAGTTTCATGTTCTACTTCATTAGAACTTGGACTGTTAGTTTTCCATTAGGTTCCCTTGTATTGAGTTAAGTTGATTATCCAGAATAAACACTACATCAGAGACTAGGATACTTAGTGCCAAACTAATTCCATGATTTGCTAAAACTTCAGAAAAGAAGTCTAACTAAATCAGAGCACATGGAGCTCGGTCAGTAGAACATTTAAGCAGCAGGGTGTTTTAACACAGAACGTCACCATCTGGTATTGTCAATGGAGACACAAACTCAGGCCCCAGTCAAAACCCTTTGAGCTGTTAACCTCAAGGAAAGAATTAAATTCAAGTAACATTAATTACACGTATCTGTTTGAGAAAGAAAGGTGAACATAGAAAAAAGGAGACCAAACGACGTGTGAAAGTTAGCCACCATATATATATGTGTTTCAATAAAATGTTAGATAAGGTTTGCAGTGTCATGCTGGAAATAACCATCATGCATTTAAAAACAAATCACACCCATGCATATAATTCCTAAATCTGTGAAAGTTAAAGAACTCTGGTGACAAAATTACAACAGCTGTTCAGCATGGAAATTTGATATGAAAAGGAGGAGGAAGTACGGTGCCAAGTCAGCACTGGTTTGTTTTAAGGAGTTTCACTCAGATGTATCAAACACATATTCAGTGCCGAATTTATCGGTTTTCCAGTAAATCTTAAAGAGCATAGCAAAATAGTTTTATAATGTAATTTAGATTACTCAGTAAACAGATCTATCATACTGTTTCATGATTTGAATGTATCTTTTCCCAGCATGGCTTAACTGTCAAACTCAGATTAAATAGCAGTACGTGAAAAGACAGGCAAACCAAAGAGAAATGTACACTCTAGAATGGAACAGTGTTAAAGCAGGTGATGATTAAGTGAGGCTTTCTCTTCCTCACACAAGAAACACCACACGTTGCTTGTGGCGGTGTTACCACACGGTTCCGTGGATCCAGAGCACACACAGGTTGAGGACGCCTTCCAGAGACTGAACAGGAGGAGGGGTTTGGGTTTTTCTTGTTTGCTTTTTCAATCCATGTGTTTTCTACCTTAGACCCCGTTTTATCTGAAATTAGAGTCTCAGGAGAAGGCTGAAGGGGACTTGTAGGTGAAGGCAGGTTCCTGAAGGAATAGGATCCTTTCCAGCTTTCATTAAACCAGGAGAAAGGCATGCAAGGGGAGCGGGTGGAGGCCTGAGCTGCGGAGGGCGGCTTGGCTTTCCAGTTTTCCAGCCTGCCTCTGAAGATCCTGTTTTGTGAAAAGAATGGATGTTAGACAAAGAAAGGCAAAAGGCTTCCTGAAGCAAATTTTGAAAGGTCTCTCAATATAGCTTCAGTAGTAATAGCCTGAGAAACTGTTCCACTCAGCAGAGTAAAATTTTGGGCTGTAACACTAACCTCAATAGTTACATTTTTTTTTTTTTTGTATCTAAGTGAAGTCTATGACAATAATCAAAGCTCTCGCACTGCTATTGCCATGGAGAATTTTTTGAAATGAATCTCTAAGTGCATGCAGATGAACTAAGACCAGGGAGGCGGTCCTGCAGGCACTGCTCTTGGGCCATCACAGCAGCTCCTTTACCTGGTAGGTACATCAGTGCCTCACAGCAGCTCCCAAATAGCACCCTTCTAGCCTTGCTCAGGACTTGTGTTCTCAAGTATCTAACATTTTAGAAAAGGATTCATTTAAATAATTTGAACACTTCAGGGCTTGTGATACTTTGAGAAAAACATGTAGCCTACTGGCTTTTCATCATCTTGGTGTTTCTTCAAAGGAGCAGGACAAGACTTGATGTCCTGGTACCCCCCTTGGAGGTCCAAGGCCTTGCACCTCCTGAGTATGTGGCATTGGGCCTTCTTTCGGTTTCCATTTGCTCATCTATGAAAGGTGTATTTTTATGTCTCTCATATGTGGTTGTTAAGAATTAAATAGCATATGTGAAAGTGCTTTGAAAACTATCAAAATATTAAATTCTCTGTTTATTTTTTAACATTTAAAGGATTTAAAGGCATTCAAGGAACACAGTATGAAAACAGTTCCCTTAATGCAGTTACTTTCATATTTATATTTATCTTTTGGTTAAGAGAAAAATAATTATTAGGAACCAAAGTAGGAATAGATGACAGTTTACATGTGTCATGGAAGAGAGTCTGCCTCAATATGTCCAAATGTTATTTCATGGAATGTCTATTATCTGATAGCTGTTAATATCACAACAGATTCCCTTCAATTAAAAGAAGCTGAACACCATAGCTAGATAACTTTCTGTCCCAGATGTATTCTGAATTTTAGTCTTTTCACATCTCATTTCAAACAAACTTTGAAATATATTTCAAATTGACATAAATAGCTTAACTCCTAAAAATTCCAGCTATTTACAAATACTGTGAGAATCAAATGGGACAATAACTGAAACACCATTTTATAAACTGGAATGCAGTATACAAATATAAAGTGATTAGAAGAATGACAACTAAAGATAATGGAGAAGTCAATGTGGTTTTGGGAAAACATAGAGATCAGCAGTTGGGTGAGCAAAATTGTTGGTCATATTAAAGATTTCAAAAGATCTGATGTTTTTAATAGAGTATTTAAAAAAATGGGAGTAGGAAGTCTTCAAGGATAATAGATAAATATCAACTAGAGATGTGTCAAACATCAAATTCATCTTCAAGTCTAAATTTAAAAAAAGTATCCTTAAATCTAAATACGTATGTCATAAGACACAGGAGTGAACTCAAGAAAGCATGCTAGCAGAGGCAGACTGGTCTGTAAGAAGCATTTTTTAATCCCTTAGCCATGGACAAGTCTGATAAGAACCATCTGGTGCAGCTGTTTCCATTCAGATCTTGGGCACCCAGACAATGAATTAGCATTAGAGGAGGACGGCAGAGGAGTCAACCTGGAATCTGTATTTTAACCAGTCTGATCTGATTCAAAGTTTTTAATACTTTATTAATACTATCCAGAATGCAAATATAATTATTTGGGAAGAAGGAGAAAAGCATTTTACTTTTTCTGATAGAAAATGGTTGTACTGGTTCCCCATGCCTGAATTTCCCCCTTCCACGTGACACCAGGAAAATTAGATGCCATCCCAACTTTGGTCTTTACTGCAGTTGGGGAACTTTTAAATCTAGGTTACAGAAGAAAGGGACAGCTGTCTCCCCAACTCCTCTGAGAGAGAGGAGAGGGAAATCGTATCATCTTAATATCCTTGAATTCAATTTGGGAAGGACCTTGGATTCTTAGTTTTTGGAATGTAAATATTTGCTTCTAGGTTGAAGATAAGACAAGTGACTCCAGTTTTACAGCCCTGGCAGTGCCTGCATGGAGCTCCATCATCTCATTCCTCCTGCTCCCTCATCTCCTTAAGATGTGACCACATACCTCTGGAGAGGTAAATCTCTCTGCAGTTCTATCTATCCGGTCATAATTTAACATCTAAGATCGTCTTTTAGCGTAGATCCCACATTCCATTAAAAATGTTGAAAATACTCTGTAAACATATCTAAAAATATGACTCTTGCAGTCTCACTCTTGTAATTGGGCATATCTGAGGAAAACCAGACCTTAACATCATAATCACCTCTGGCTATCAGTTTCTGAATCAAGGGAATTTTAAAAAGAATTTCATCCATAATTCCAATAAATTTTGGTAGTGCTTAAATAAATGGCTATTGTTTTAAAGTTTATAAAGAGGCCATAATTAACAGCAGCATGACAATCTCATCCTACTTCCAAGTGAATGTCTTTGTAACAATGCATTTAGGCCACCACCACTTCCTTTTTTAAAAAAAATTAGGCAAGAAATAAGAATATTGTTTCCTAAAGTGTTATTCTTTTGCTTTATTTGAAAAGGACTTTTGATAGTACAGATCCTGGCAGGACAACATTAGGAGGGAAAAAAAAATCTGAAGGCTACATCTAAGTAAACACTTTGATAAAATTATCTCTAACAGGAAAATATTTAAGATTAATAATCCCATGTGGACTTGTATATCCAGCAATTAAGACAGGTCCTGAGGCCATGTTGTTCTTATAATCTGTGGTGAGCAAGGTCATGGAACCCCAGCCTCTGCTGATACCCAGAAGCTTTCTTATGCCACTTCATACACCAAGGTAATAGAAGACAAGCAAGTAGAAATTGTTGAAAGACCACTTCCAAGGAGTCAACCACTATCTCTATAACTGCATACCACCATATTTGGGATACTCTGAAGAGTGTTTTACATGAGGCCTGGCTGTGTCCCTGTGAGGCTGTCTCCTAACTCCCTCATTTTTTAATCTGTGACTTTAAAACTCCATGACTAATGGAGCATTGTGTGCTTCCTGGCACCCCAGATGAACTGAACAGAGGCATGCTTCCATTTGGTTGGACCTACAGAAATGGAATTCTCATTTAAAAAAAAGAAACATAGCTGGGTTTGGTGGCACATGCTGTAATTTCAGCAATGCAGAAGGCTGAGGCAGGAGAACTGTAAGTTCCAGGTCAGCCTGAGCAATTTAGCAGGACCCTCAGCAACTTAGTGAGATCCTATCTTAAAATAAAAAATAAATAGGACTGTGAATGTAGCTCAGTGGTAAGGTGCCCTTGGTTCAATCCCCAGTACCAAAAAAAGAAAATAAAAACCCATTATATTACTTTAAAACTAGAAACCTATCAGTCTACCAACATATACTTTTGGAGAATGAATACCAGTTTCTTCCTGGATAAATTGAACTACTGGGCCTATAAAGGAGCAGAAAAGATTTGGTAGCAGATTTTATTTTGACCACTCCATCTGTTTCACCTTGTTGAGAAAATCTTCCTAATTATTACTAATACAAAATTCGTCTTTCCTTCCTTTTTTTTGCTTCTACCCTTCCTTCCATTTGTAACACTTTGTTTTCCTTTTTTTCTTTCCCCCACTCCCCCTAAAAATAAATCAAGATTGGTAGAAATGAATTCCTGATGAATTTAAAAATAATTTCAGAGAAAAGGCCCAGTGGCCCGCGGAGGGGCAGAGCTGCCAACCACTCCTGCAAGGTAGGCGGGCCTGGGACCCACCGGCAGAACAGGAGCAGCGGCCTGCTGAGAGGCAGAGCCGCCCCCTCCCCCCACGCCGGCAAGGTAGACGGAACTGTGACCACCCACAGAACAGGCCCAGCGGCCTGCTGAGGGGCAGAGCCGCCCCCCACCCCCCACGCCTGCCAGGTAGGCGGAACTGTGACCACCAACAGAAAAGGCCCAGTGGCCTGCGGAGGGGCAGAGCTGCCAACCACTCCTGCAAGGTAGGCGGGTCTGTGACCCACCGGCAGAACAGGAGCAGCGGCCTGCTGAGAGGCAGAGCCGCACCCCGCCCCCGCGCCTGCAAGGTAGGCGGAACTGTGACCACCAACAGAACAGGCCAGACCTGCAACCGACAAACAGAACAGGCCCAGTGGCCTGCGGAAGGGTAGAGCCGCCCTCCCCCCCCGCGCCTGCAAGGTAGGCAGACCTGCGACCCACCGGCAGAACAGCCCCAGAGGCCTCCAGAGGGGCAGTGCCGCTGCCTGCGCCTGCAAAGTAGGCAGAAGTGCGACCACCGACAGAACAAGCCTAGCGATGCGCAGAGGGACAGAGCCGCTGCCCGCGCCTGCAAGGTAGGCAGACCTGCTACCGACCGGCAGAAGAGGCCCAGTGGCCTGCCGGCTTGGTAGGCACATTGCCCCAATTTGAGGAGGGGCAGAGCCGCCGCCCGCGCCTGCGAGGGAGACTTTGCAACTATACAAGACCAATATAAATATATAGGGGGAAAATTCAATAGCACAAAGTTTCACCAAGCAGAAAGAAACGCGAACAGTATGAAGAGACAAGGAAAGAAAGGACCACAAGCAATGCAGGTCAACTCAACGTTAGAAGAGGTAATAGCTGCAGCAGATGGAATGTCAGATAAAGAATTCAGGATATACATGCTTCAGATGATCTGGAGTCTCAAGGAAGACATCAGACAGCAAAATCAGACAATGAAAGATCACTTCAACAATGAATTACATAAACAAATCCAAGAAGCAAAAGATCAACTATACAGGGAGATAGAAGTAATAAAAAACAAACAAACTGAAATCCCAGAAAAGGAGGAAGCAATAAACCAACTTAAAAACTCAATTGAGAATACTACCAGCAGAGTAGAACACTTAGAAGATAGAACATCAGACAATGAAGATAAAGTATTTCAACTTGAAAAGAACATAGACAGCTCAGCAAGACTGTTAAGAAACCATGA